TCCGATTTCTATTTTTTTAACTCTGTGATAACTCTCTGAAATATAGCAGAGTTAATTTCTTGATAATTCTACCGGTATGTAAATTAGGCAGGTCGATAGGTCAGGAGCTAAAGAGGCCTAGTGTGCAGTCAGTGGGCGAGGACTATTGAATTTGGCATAGGAGTCTTCTTATAATTTAAATCTATGTCAACATTTTTAAATTCTAAATTTTATTTTACAATGAAATGGAAATGTAAGAAATCGTTGTCTAATTAGTAGAGTATGCCAGTGACATCAACGATAGTAGGAAACATGGGATAAATTATGCATAACGGGCTTCTTCAAATTATCCCATATTTCCCACTAACGTTTATGCCCTGGCATTCTACAATAACTATAGACAGTTATTCCTTAAATTTTCTTCTCAAGTACTTCAAAGCCAGGATTAGTTATGTTTATATGGAATCATCCTCAGGTAGTGTAAATTCTAGTTTGTTCAAATCATAACCCACAGAAATAGGGTGGGGGCCACGATGGGGAATCCAAGTTTTACATTAAAATATATTTAAAAAATCTTCTTCTCACGAATAGCAAAACCATGATTAGTGATACCAGTATTTATATGGAAGAATTCTCAGGTAGTATAGAATTAAATTTGTTCAAATCATAACCCCCAAGGGCAGTGTGGTGTCACAATGATGGATCAAAGTTTTACAAAGAAAAATAAAGGGACAAATCCCAACAGAAAAGCTATGTTTATTCATATTGACATGTAAACATTCTCAGGTGTTGAAGATTTAAATTTGTTCAGATCATGGCCCTTTGAGGTAGGGAGGGATACAATGGGGAATCAAATTCAAATTATTATGAAGTAATATAAAGGAACAAAATGTTTTTAATTTTTTTTATCAACAACAGCAAATCTATATACTATATTTATATGAAGGCATTATACACAGAAATAATAAAATTCACCCCCCCCCCCCTCAGTTATCTTTTCAGTTTGCATTTTTGCCTAGTCGATGTGCTCAGGTGAGCGATGTGGTTATGGGCCTCTTGTTTTCACTTTAAGGACCCTGGCCAAGCAAGCTGAGGCAGAAGTAGAAATCTTGAGACAAAAGCAACAGAAAGCTAGCCGAGAGAGAAGAAAAGGAGAAAGTCCAAAAACTGTCCATTCTCTGAGGCCCGAAGGGCCTAGAATAGTTTCTTTCTCTCACACAGAATGGACTTTATCCTACTTAATACATTTTCTTTATTGTTAACAAATTAACTGTCCAAGTTGATGGTTATGTATTTGCTATTATTACGAAACACACTTGATTGTCAAGAGAGTGAGGGATGGAAACAATTACTGTATTGTTTAACTTAATGGGCAGTGCCAGTTTAAATGATAGCTCATTTGCTTTCTGATTACTTCCCATGTAAAGCTTAATGAGTGAAGATGTCCTCATCGGATGGAGAAAGTAATACATATTTCTCCAAAATACAGACCAAAGGATGGTACATACTCTAAAGTAGGTAGCTAGAGAAACAAGCAGAAACTTGCAAGTAATGTAGTTTCTGAAGGTGGTGTTTACATTTTGGCAAAAAATTTCGTATATCTTTGTGAACAATCAGGATTTGAGGAACACTATATGAAACATTCTTTGAGAACAACAGCGGCGACCCGCTTGTATGAAGTTGAAATTGAAGAAAAGCTTAAAACAGAGAAAAACGGTCCAAAAATCTTTTACAGTTTGATCCTACAATTGAACCAACAATGAATAGCAGCAGAGATTGAATAAAGTAATTCATACAATTTTTTGATATTCATGCATAATTGTTTACTAAATAAAAAAATTATTTACCTGTGTTCTATATATTTCATTACTAATGAAGTTCAGAAAATATTGTGCATTTTATGTATTATTTTCAACGTTTCCTGTACATTAAGTTACCTGTAATTGTACATTAAGTTAACAAAAAAACTGTCGATTAAGTTATGAATTGAGAGTTTTGTCAACTTAATGTACGGTTACAGGTGACTTAATGTACAGTTTTTAAAAATCCAAATCTATCATGCTATATAATGTACTAAAAACACACAGGATTACATAAGAAAAATGTTTTAAGCCATGATAACTCAATCTTAGTTTCTATATCAGTGGCAATTTCTTCATAGGTTGGAGAAGTTATTTTTTTTCTAACTCTTTAGCATCTTTTCTTATGACATCTCTCTTTGAATTAAAAATGTCCTAAACAGGTGTAATGGTATGTCCCCTATGTCAGATATAGTACATAAAGAACACACTGATGTGTTGCATTCTTTACATTGAAATTTACATCTTTATATGCCCCCGCAAACGACGTTTCGAGGGTATATAGTTTTTGTCGTGTCCGTTCATCTGTCTGTCTGTCCGCAAAAACTTTAACCTTGTCCATTACTTTTGATTAAGTGGAGTTTTCATATTTTACCTGTGTATTCCTTGTGACAAGACCTTTCTATGGGACCCACCAAATTTGATCCTTTGACCCTGACCTTGGAGTTTGACCCACCTTTACACACAAATTCCAAACTTTTAATCTGGCTAAATCTTTTGAACAGTAGATACCAGGACTTTTATATTTCATATTAGATGTATTCTTTGTGGAAAGACCTTTCATCGGATACCAACAACAATGACCTTTTGACCTTGATCTTGGAGATTTTCGTACCTATGAAAAAACTTTAACCGTAGCCATAACTTTTAAACGCTAAAGGGTAGTACTTTCATTCTTCACATATGTAATTCTTGTGAGGAGGCCTTCATAAGATATCAAGATCCTCGGCCTTGACCATGTAGTTTGACCTACTTTTAAAAATAAACCTTGACCATAACTCTTTAATGGTTCGGGAAAGTACTTTATACTTCATATATTTAATTATTGTTACAGGACCTTTTATTTGATATCAAGAACTTTGACCTTGACCTCGAAGTTTGACTTACTTTTTGAATTGTTTAATCCTGTCTATACATTTTGAAGTGTAAGGGCTATGTCTTTCATTCTTTACACATGTATTCTTTGTGGCTAGACCTTTCATTGGATACCAGTTACCTTGACCTTGGAGATGTTCGTACTTATGAAGAAACTTTAATCTTGGTCATAACTTCTAAACGCTGAGAGCTAGTGCTCTCATACTTCACAGATGTAATATTTGTGAGAAGACCCTTCACTGGATACCAAGAACTTTGCTCCTTTGACCCTGACCTTGTAGTTTGACTTGCTTTAAAAAAACAAACATTGACTATAACTTTTGAAGGATTAGGGCTAGTGCTTTCATACTTTTCATATTTAATCCTTGTGACAAGACCTTTCATTTAATATCAAGAATGGTGATTTTTGATCTTGACCTACTTTTTAAAATTTTAACCTTAGCTATAACTTTTGAAGGATAGTGGCTAGGAATTCACATATGTCTTATGTATTCTTTGTGGGAAGGCCGTTAATTGGATACCAATTAACTTGACTTTTTTTACCTTGACCTGGGAGATTTCCGTACTTATAAAAAAAACTTTAACCTTGGCCTACTTTTATATTTCACATTGTATTTCGAGTGAGAATACCCTTCTTTAGGTACCAATATAACAAAATTGCATTTAAGAACATTTTAAACCCCCCCCCTCCCCCTTCAGGAAGTAGTCTCCTTAAAGTTCTTGTCAAAAACCTTTATTGATTTACAAAATACGTAAAATGCCCCAGGTACTGGTACCAAAATTATAAAAATGCATTAGAAGGAAATTAGAAAAAAAATTATCAGTATGGAACTACAACTGCCCAAATTCTAGACAATAAAAACAAGATGTGTTTCTGAAACACTGATGCCCCCGTATGGCAACATAGCGAAAGTTAAGCTTTCTTAAATGCAGATCTAGATCAACTATAATAATATATTAGTACCTAAAGTAAGGTTTTTTCCACAAGAAATACAAATGTAGAATATAAAACTCTTGCACCACCTGTTCAAAGGTTATGGCCAAGGTTTACGTTTCTACAGGTAGGACAAACTCCGGGGTCAAGGTCAAAGCCTTTACCGTTCGAAAGTTATGGCCAAGGTTAAAGTTTTTAAAAAGTAGGTCAAAGTCTAAGATCAAAGTTCTTGATATCAAATGAAAGGTCTTTTCACAAGAATTTTATATTTGAAGTATGACAGCCATAGTCCTAACCCTTCAAAAATTATGGTCAAGGTTGTATCTTAAAGGTCGAGATTTTTAACCGTACAGTTTTCTCAGGTAAGGGGAGGTGTGCACAAACAAGCTTAATTGTGTTTAAGATGTTTATTGGCCTCCTCGTCATGAGGGTAAGAGACTACAAAACAAAACAGCCGTCTTACAAATAAATTCATAAACAAACAATTATATAAACAGTTATTAAATAAGTGAGATAACACCATGACAATCCATGACATACATTATGCCAAATTTGAAAAATACATAAAAAATCTGTTTTATGACTTTCTAAATACTAGAGTCAATACTGTATTACATTGTTTGACCTTTCAACTTAATACAAACTTGATACAAACCAAATAATTCATAAAGTAAAGTGATAAAGTATCGATACATAAATATACATATCCAGATTTTCCCTAACGCCAATGCCATGTGCGTTTGTGCACTTAGGATTTATAACAAAAATATGCAAAAATCAAGTATAGACAACAGTTAAGACTTATCGTATGCAATAATTATAATGTGATTACAAATATGCAAAGGAAAAACTTACTCTTTGGGCCTTCAAAACAATATAAAAGGGGCAAATATGCCTCCGAAACAAAACGTGAAGTCTTCCCGGAAATACAGTACAGGTATAAAACAGAACATAAAATCTAAAACCAACACGGACAATTTCCGTGTCACCACACTCCCCTTCTGATTTCTGTACAAGAAATCACTATATCAATTACACGTCTCTTAGGAAAATAAACCTAACAAATGTATCACAAATTCACAAATGTATCTTACGTATCTTACAATGTTTCATACACAACAACTAAGACAAGACTAGTGGCACAAGTTTGTGAATGGGTCTAACATAATGAGATACAGTGTCCCCCTAACCACACACACTTCAACTTCACGTACATGTCCATCAGCAGAAGGAATGGTTCTATTTACACGTGCAACCGGCCACTGATTCCTTGGACTCTCAAACTCTTCTAGCATCACCACGTCTCCTTCCTTTAAACTGGGTTTGTCTGACGTCCACTTTCGTCGAATTTGTAGGGCAGATAAGTACTCACATTCCCATTTTCTCCAAAACTCAGCCGCAAGAGTTTGAACGTAACGCCACTGAGACTTGTATAATTCCTTGGGGTCAATGTCCGGCAATGATTCTGGTAAGTGTCCTATCTTCTGAGTGAGTATCATTGCAGGTGTAAGGAAGGATGGATCACTGGCATCCTCTGTAATGGTGGTAAGTGGTCGTGAATTCACTATAGCACAAACTTCTGCCAGAAATGTAGAAAGTGTGTCATGGGTTAAACCTTTCATTCCATTTCGTAAAAGCATGCTGTCCAAGATTCTGCGCGTCACACCGATCATGCGCTCCCAGGCTCCACCAAAGTGGGATGCATGTGGAGGGTTGAATATCCATGAGCACTCATTGTCCTGCAAGAATCTCTGTACCATGGGTTTTTCCACGAACTGATGAACCATCTGTAGTTCCTTTGCAGCTCCAACAAAGTTGGTTCCTCTGTCAGAACGGAATTGATGGACAGGTCCTCGTATAGAGAGGAAACGCCTTAACGCATTGATAAAAGAGGAAGTGCTCAATTCCTCAACGAGCTCAATGTGGATACCCCTTGATACCAGGCACGTAAACATAATTGCCCATCTCTTGCTTGTGGCTAATCCTCCCCGTGTACGCCGTGCTGTTACATCCCAAGGTCCGAACGTATCGAGGCCGACGAACGTAAATGGAGGTCCTGGGGTCAAACGATCCTTTGGAAGGTTAGCCATTTTCTGACCGCAGAAGGCTCCTCGCAATTTGCGACATGTGACACAGTGGTGAATCTCCGATGCTATCAGACGTTTGGCTCCAATTATCCAGAATCCAGATGACCTGATCTTGCCTTCTGTAATCTTATGTCCTTGGTGGGACACCTTCTCATGAAAATGCCTAGTCAATAAGGTAGCTATGTGGGATTTCTTAGGTATGATTATTGGATGTATGTCCAAGTTAACTAACTTCTGTACAGCAGAAATCCTACCACCAACACGCAGTAAGCCATTGGAGTCCAGAAATGGGGCCAAGGAAATGATGCTGCTACCTTTAGGTATGGGCTTCTCCTTGATGAGACATTCTACCTCTTCACTGAATTCAGACCTTTGTACCTCTCTCAAAATATGAATCTCAGCTGATTTCAGGGTGTCCAAATTCAAAGACTGTGGACAGCAATGCCATCGTCTCGTTGAATGTTTACAGGAGTCCTTTGCAAGTAAGACATGCTTCAAAATAGCTATACTGCGAACTAGTTTAGTCCATTGTGAGTACCTTTCTAAGCGAGAATTGAAAGAACTATGGGTCTTCCCCTCGATGGTCGTTATGTTGACTTCAACAATAGGTCGAACTTCCTTATCATCATCTGATATGAGAGCAAAGTCCTCACGTGCTCCCACAAAGGTAGTGGAGAGGTTGTCTTCCCTAAGGAATGCTGGTCCTCGCAGCCACATACTTTGAGGGAGTTCTTGAGCATCGAACGATCGAGTACCCAAATCTGCTGGATTTTGATCGGTAGTAATGTGCCGCCATTGGTCAGGTTCACTAAATGACCTAATCCTACTCACTCTATTCGCAACGTAGACATAAAAACGTCTGGCGTCGTTGGTTATATAACCAAGAGCAATCTGACTGTCACTGTAAAATCTGAAAGTATTCTTTTCTAAATCCATCTGTTCTTTGATGATTTCTGCTATCTCTATCCCAAGAACCGCTGCACACAGTTCCAGCCTGGGGATTGTGTGGCCATGTGCTGGAGCCACTTTGGCCTCGCCAATAAGGAAACCTACATCACTGTTACCCTCGTCCTTCCATACTTTCAGAAAAACCACTGCAGCTATCGCATCTTTGGAGGCGTCCGTAAAAATGTGCACTTCCTTGCGTTTTGACTCACAAACAGAATTCTTGCTGCACATCCTTGGTATCCTGACATCTTCAAGATGACTGACGGAGTTGACCCAATTAGACCATTTCAAGCGGAACGAGTCATCTAGGGGATCGTCCCAATCAACTTCACTGGAGGTTGATAGCATCTGTCGGAATAACATCTTCCCTTGCACAGTTACTGGAGATGCAAAACCAAGGGGGTCGAACAGACTATTGATGTTTGACAAGACTCCCCTGCGAGTGAAGGGCTTCTGGTCAGTTGATATCTTGAAGGTGAAGACATCAGCATTGATATCCCACGACATACCAAGGCTTCTCTGTACAGGTAAATCGTCTCCACCAATATCTAAATCCTTTAGGTCTTTGGCCAGATCATCTGCTGGAAACTTCAACAACACAGACTTTGAGTTTGAGGAGATTTTATGAAGTTTAAGCTGTCCTCCTTCCTTCAGGGCAAGCTGAGTTCTCTTCATCAGGTCAATGGCCATATCTTCACTTGGACAACTTAAGAGTCCATCATCCACGTAAAAGTCTTTTGTTATAAAGTCAATCACATCAGGGTCAGAGTGAGCAACACAGCGACGTAGTCCATATGTTGCGACTGCCGGAGATGGGCGATTCCCAAAGACGTGGACAGTCATTCTGTACTCTTTTAAGGGTAGGTCTAAATTATTCTCTGGGTGCCATAAAAACCGCAAGTAGTCTCTGTGATCTACTTTCACCTTAAAATTGTGAAACATTTGCTCCACATCCCGTATTACTGCCACCCTCTCACGTCGAAAACGTAGTAAGATGCCTTCGAGATTGTTCGTAATGTCTGGACCTTTGAGAAGGACATCATTGAGCGAGATGTTGTTGAACTTCGCAGACGAGTCAAACACCATTCGTAAGGAATCTCTTTTCTGCGGGTGATAAACACCGAACATAGGAAGGTACCATCTTTCTTTGGTATCGGGTAAAGGTGGCGCTTCCTCTGCATGTCCCTTCTCAAATATTTTGTCCATGAACTTTGACACATGTTCTCTCTTGGTAGGGTTCCGTTTCAAACTTCGATCAAGAGACAGCGCTCGATTGATGGCCTGTGGTTTATTGTTTGGTAATGGCTGCCTTCGGTTTCGGAACGGAATAGGTGCCTCCCAATAACCATCTGAGTCTCTTTGGAATTCTTTGTCCATAATGTCAAGAAAGGCAGTGTCTTCTTTGGAGGGGGCAACTTTCTCATCATGATCTGTCTTTAAGAAGATATTGTCCTTAACCAGTAGCTTGCTATCACAAGGCTGGAATACTGAGAGACGGCCACTGCTTAACACATATGTTTTATGTACTGTCACTTTATCAGGCATATGAATGGCATCTAAACACACAGGCCCAATAATTACCCAGCCTAGGGGAAGTTTCTGAGCAAAGGGAACAGACCATCCTGTCACATGTCTTTGATCCTCTACTATATGAGCTGAAGTGAGATCTCGTCCAATCAGTAGCTCGATCTCAGCAGTCTCAATCAACTCTGGAATGCTGTCTTTGATATCTGTTAGATGGGAATATTGTTCAGCTATACGAGGTGAAGGTATCTCCTCCCTGTTGTTAGGTAAATCCGAGCATTCGATTAATGTGGGTAGATCGAAGGAACTGCTGCCATCAAGGGATTCCACGACGAGTCCTTGAGCCCTTCTTCCTGCTGACATAACTGAACCTGAACAAGATGTCAAAGTGTACTCATACTCGGGTCCGCCAACATTGAATGCATCAAGGAGTGAGGGTGCTGCTAGGGAATGATTGCTCTGATCATCCAACATAGCATAAACAATTCTGAAGTGACTGGCAGAGTTTTTACGGTATATTTTCACTGGCAGAATTTTTGCACAAGATTTACTTGTTCCTCTTACTGTTCCACATATTTTGGTGCAAGAAATTGTGACTGTTTGCCGACGTTGCTCCCCTTCATGGTTTTTCTCCCCTCCATGGTCTTCTCTTCTCCTGTGATCTTGAGGACTCGGATTTTCAGTATGAAGTGCCGTGGGATGAGAGGACTGATTACACAAGCCACACCTTTCCAAAGTCGTGCAGTTTTTAGCATAATGTTTGTTTTTACAACACTTGAGACATATTCCATTAGCCATGATAAACTTCTTTCTTTCTTCAAAAGTCTTGGACCGGAACTTGTTACATTCATTCAAGGTATGATTCGAGTTGTGAAGAGGGCATCGAGCCAAGTCATTGTTTTCAGTCAAAACATGATTAGAAGAACTCTGTGTTTCAGTTTTCCTGGCAGCAACTACTGTTGTTTTCTGGAAATTCTTTGGATGGTTCACATAGGGCTTCTCACCATCAGAACATGAGTAGTTAAAACTTGGATCATTCTTCATCCGAGCCATGTCCTTCAAGAAGTTGATAAAGAAGGTGAATGGCGGATATATGGCTGACTCACGCTTCTTGTACTTTGTCGCTTCGGCAGTCCATTTGTCTTGTAGTGATGTAGGAAGTTTTGTAACAATCGGATTTATGCCAGTGGGAGAATCAAAGTATCCAAAAAGGGATGCATACTGGGACTGCCGTTTAACTGAAGCTATTTCTTCCACTAAATCCAAAAGATTGTAGAGTCTTTTCATGTCCTGATTCCCAATCTTTGGAAACGATGAAATCTGACGTCTGAGAGAACTTTCTATCAACTCGGGTGCCCCATATCTCTCTTCAAGCCTTTCCCACACTAATCTCAGGGCGGTTTTCGGGTCGTTGGCATTACATTTCCTTATGGTTGCTGCCTGTCTTGAGGATTCATTGCCGAGATATCGTACAAGCATGTCAAGTTCCTCCGACGGGGTTACACTCAGGTCCTCCATGATGTTCCTAAAGGTAAGTTTCCAGGTAAGGAATAAACTTGGATTGTCATCATACTTTGTAATTCTTGATAGGATGAGATCCTTTTTCAGAAGGAACTTTGTTATGTCCATAATTGGTTCCCTATGTGTTGGGTTCATAGGAGTGTTTTCAATGTGGGTCTCAATCGGAGTGCTAGGCTGATTGTCACTGTTCACATAAACATGTTGAGTAGTTTCATTTGGTAGTATCACAGGTAGAGGTGACAAAGAGAACTCTGGCAGCTCTGGCAGAGAGTATGCAGTCTGAGTATTTGGCTGTCTTTGTGGTTCATTGAACAGTCTGGTAGGTTGCACTTGCATAAGTGGGGTGATAGTCTGTGGGAAGGTCGGAAGATATGACCCCCGACGCTGTCCTTTCGACAAACTTTCCACGTATTGCTGTGTGCGTGAGAAAGCGTCGTCTGATGGGAGGTTGAGTTCAGGACTGTGCTCTTTAAGAGCACTAACTTCCGCCTGTTTGGATTCTATCTCCTCTTCAATTTTGATCGCCTTCAGCTTTGTTTCTAGTTCCGCTTTCTGGCGAATAATGTCAGCTTCTTCCGCAAGAAATTTCTTCTTCACGACAGCTGCACGTAGCTCTGCTTCCTTCCGTTCTAAAAGGCTAATGTTTGATTTCACAGAATTCCTGCTAGAGGAACGACTATGTGAAGTGGAAGGTGGTGGGGGATTCAATAAAGAGTCTATTCTTTTTGACATCAAACTTGCTTTACAGAGTACTGTTTGTCTTATCAGGTTGTGAGAGGATTCTTCGTTATCACTTTCGTCGGTTCTTACTGTTCTGAGGTACTCAACATACTTGCACGAAAGTTCTGTATATGCTTGTTCACACGACTGTATTAAATCTCTAACGGATTTCAGAGAGCTTGGATCATCCTTTATCTGATCAATGTGCGCTGCACCTGCATCCATATCATCCTTAATGTTGTGTAACTCTGTTGTAAATTTGGCCACTCTACGTTCATATTCCTCTTGGGCTGGCGTTCTTAAGTGTCTTCTTCTCTTTAACTCCAATGTTTCACCTGCTTCCGCTCGCTCGGTGTACAGGTCAGTCATCATTGTTTGGTGATGAGTCCAGATCTCTTACTGTGCACAAACAAGCTTAATTGTGTTTAAGATGTTTATTGGCCTCCTCCTCATGAGGGTAAGAGACTACAAAACAAAACAGCCGTCTTACAAATAAATTCATAAACAAACAATTATATAAACAGTTATTAAATCAGTGAGATAACACCATGACAATCCATGACATACATTATGCCAAATTTGAAAAATACATAAAAAATCTGTTTTATGACTTTCTAAATACTAGAGTCAATACTGTATTACATTGTTTGACCTTTCAACTTAATACAAACTTGATACAAACCAAATAATTCATAAAGTAAAGTGATAAAGTATCGATACATAAATATACATATCCAGATTTTCCCTAACGCCAATGCCATGTGCGTTTGTGCACTTAGGATTTATAACAAAAATATGCAAAAATCAAGTATAGACAACAGTTAAGACTTATCGTATGCAATAATTATAATGTGATTACAAATATGCAAAGGAAAAACTTACTCTTTGGGCCTTCAAAACAATATAAAAGGGGCAAATATGCCTCCGAAACAAAACGTGAAGTCTTTCCGGAAATACAGTACAGGTATAAAACAGAACATAAAATCTAAAACCAACACGGACAATTTCCGTGTCACCACAGGAGGGACTAAATTAATTTGGTCAAACTCGAATTTCAAAGGGTCAAAGTTCTTCACAAGAAATACAAATGTAAAATATAAAACTCTTGCACCACCTGTTCAAAGGTTATGATCAAGGTTTACGTTTTTACAGGTTGGACAAACTCCGGGGTCAAGGTCAAAGCCTTTAACGTTCGAAAGTTATTGCCAAGGTTATAAAGTTTTTAAAAAGTAGGTCAAACTCCAAAGTCAAAGGGTCAAAGTTCTTGATATCAAATGAAAGGTCTTGTCACAAGAAGTTTATATGTGAAGTATGACAGCCATAGTCCTAACCCTTCAAAAAATTATGGTCAAGGTTGTATCTTAAAGGCCGAAATTTTTTACCGTACGATTTTCTCAGGTAAGGGGAGGGACTAAATTTTACATGCTTGGCACCCCGAGGCATTGACGGTCGTGCAGACCACAGAGAACGCTAATCCCTATACCCAAACAGTATACACAGGAAGTCCATGAGTATTACCTGTACAGCCTGTTTGGCCTTCTTTTCATCATGAAATATGTAGATCTCGATATCGTAAATAAAAAATGTCATTAGTAATAAATGATATTTGCAAAACATCAAAACAAAAATCTTTTACGAGTGAAGATAAGATTTCAATCACCTATGCACTTTTCATTAATGAAAATTTTTACACAATCTTGATTTATTTTATAAAAACACAATGGGAAAATTTTCATTTTTCAATGACGTGTTTGTAAATAATTATCAAACTAAAATTGCTTGCATCAAATGGCTTCCTACTTGTGCTGGTAATTTAGAGGTAAACATCAGAAGACTGAAAGTTATTTCGATGGTGACCACGAGTATCAAACAAGGTGAAAGAGTTATACACAGGTACTAGTAGCTAAATGTCAATCAATTTTAAGTACCCAATGATGGACCATAATTCATTTGATTGACAAGGGAACACAGACCAGGTAAATATGAAGGCGGTGCTTATTATCTCGGGCTTTAAAAGTAGGTCAAACTCCGAGGTCAAGGTCAAATTGTCAAAGTTCTTGGTATTCAATGAAGCGTCTTATCACAAGAATTACATATGTGAAATATGAAAGCCCTAGCCCTTACCGTTTAAAGGTTATGGCCAAGGTTAAAGTTTTTATAGGTATAGAAATCTACAAAGTCAAAAGATCAAGGTTGTGGTATTTAATGAAAGTGGTGGAGAGCTGCAAATTTTGATAACGTCAGGTAGAGGTAACTTATGCTAATTATAATTTTAAATAAAAGAATTGTAATTGTAAAAAATAGTGACAAAAACTTATATATATACCGCTACAGACTTTTAAGAAAAAAGACAAAATTATAGGTCGTGTAATTGTATTGTAGACAGGCTGATATCGGCCATCGTAGTTCTGGAAAGGTATTGACAACATGATCATGAATCTACTGTAGAGATTAGACAGGAAGCAAAACTTGAGGTGGATAAGCTAATGGAAATCTCACAATCCCTGTATGATTCTATCACAGGAGAGGTGGTCGCTGAATTTTTGTCGTAAGTTCATTTTATTCTCTTTAATGATCAATTTTACTTGAATACAAAGAAATGTGTTGGTGAACAGCATTGTTTATGAGAGTTTCTAAGAATTGAATTGACTTTCTTTACTGACACTAACATGGCATAAAGCTTTCATCTTCTCCATTGTTAACAACATATTTAATCTTTTTAACATTTCCTTTATACTCGGCTACAAACAAGTTGTCTTTTTTGTCAACACAAACTCCCACTGGTTTCTTCAGATCACAGTTATCTATATACCGAAGGAAGTGTCCGTTCTGGTTTAGGATGTGGATACAAAGGTTCTCTACGTCTGCTGTCAGGATCTGACTCTGGCTGTCTGTTGTGATTCCGCAGGGTTTGAATGATTTGTTCTTTGTAACAGAAGGATGACCAGTGTATCTAAATCGGAGTTTTCCAGTCTGATTGACCACAACTACAACACCAGCTTCACAGTCAGCCACACAGATATCCAAGTTTCTGTTCTCACTGATGTATTTAATTTTATTATTTCCTGAATACAGAGGTGTACCCTTCTCATTAAACTGGATTGTTTGTTTCTCTGTGGAGCCTGAGTAACGAACAACTTTGGACTGTGTTTCATCATCACTGAACATGCCAACCAGGAGATCACCAGAAGAGGTGACGCAGAGATTGAAAGGTAACCAATTTTGTTGTTTGATAACCTCTTCTGTTCGTCCATTCTTTACTTTATTAACAGTCTTTGTTTTAGCATCAGAGTACACTAGATCACCATCACATGTCACTGCTATATCACTTGGCCACTGCCCCGATTTTGTTCCGATTGTCTTAATGAGTGATCCGTCACTGTTAAAACATTTCATTTTACTGACTTTATGTGCACATGTCCAAAAGTCTTCCTCACTGAGCCATGAAATACTACGGAGTTTCCCATACCCAGTATTTATAGTAGTGATGAGTTCTGGTTCTTTCTGCAGTTGTCCGGTTGACGTCACTGGTTTCTTCAGTGTGTAGCCATTTTCATCTGTTTTGGTGGTTAATGGTGTTAAAGATCCAAACAAATCATAAATATGTCCTGTATCTTTTGTCTTTGTATTGAACATTCGAAATGATACTCTAATCTGGGAGGAAGTTTGCTTAATTCTTTGACTTTGGAGCTGTATTCCATAGTCATAGATATTTTATTTGATTCATCTATTCTATTTAATTCAAGAAGTGTTTGTTCAATAAGACTTGTTATCTGTTTAATTTCATCTAAATGTTTCATCAGAATGCTCATATGTTTACTTTTCATCTCTTCAATTTCTCTTTTTAGTTTGTTGACAATGTTGTCAATTTCTTTGTGCCATTGTTTTCCATGTTCTGTCACTGCTGTTGAAAGTTTATCATATTCTTCATTCAGGTTAGCAATCTGAGCTTCTATATCTATGGCAATTTCTTCATAGGTTGGAGAAATCATTTGTTTCAACTCTTCAGTATCTTTCCCTATGATTTCTTTCTTTGAATTAAAAATATCCGAAAGGGTTCTAATGGTATGTCCCTTATGTGTATCAGATGTAATGCATAAAGAACAAACACAGGTGTTGCATTCTTTGCAATGAAATTTACATCTTTCTGTTTCATGTATTTTGCACAGTGGATAAATTAAGGTGGATTTCCTTTGCTGAAATTGGACAATTTGGTGTTTGCTATAGTCATCAGCAATGTGTTCTCCAATACAGGGTTTACAGAGGCTGACATGACAGAAATCACAGTACATCTGTACTACAGCTGTCTCACATAGGTCACATCTGATCACATCCTGGGCACTGCTGCTGGGATCCATGTCGAAATCTAAAATTTGAATGATATGACATTGATTATAGATCTCATTGCCTAAATATCTTTGGTCGAAAACGAAAGTAAATATTACATCTACTCATTATTTATATTCCATATTCTCACAAATCAAAATGTCGTGATTTATTGAAATTGTTACCTTAAAACTTAAATTGCTGATACCGATTTTTATTTAAAAGTTTAATTTCAACCTAAGGGTGTTTCTGGATAAACCCATGTACCTTTTCACCCAGTATCTAAATAATCCATATGTACCTGCCTAGTTTATTTTATAGGAATGTTATGCATTGTAAATTATACAATAACTTAAGTTAAATCAAATAATTTCAGATGTAAAACAATACATTATAATAGGCAATACCAATTTATGTATGTCCAAATAAGAATCCAGAAAACATGAAATGGCGGAAGCTTGCTATCACCTGACAGGAAGGTTAAAATATAGAATATAGGGTGTCATAGATAAAGTTATCTTTCTTGAGTAATATTACTGATCCGTACAAAAATGTACAAAATTTCAATCTTATTTCAATTTTCAGCTTTTAATCTTTGATTTTAATTTTCATTTTTTTTTTTGTTATAATAATTATTTTTTTTTTAATTATAAATTTCACTGAAAGGAAAATTAAACGTTTGCGTATCGATCAAATATTTTTGGAATTTAGACAAATATTCGTCATCTGAGATCTTTAAAATAAATTCTAAGACATATAGTAAAGACTGGAAAAGGGTGTTACAATTAATAGGGGAAATATCCTTGAACCGCTTCTGAGTTTTGTCCGTAATTGAACTGAATGTCCCAAAATGTAAACTGAATATATTTTTAGAAATCAATGCATGAAAGTAAGTAGCTTCCGCATTTAATATTTTAACTCTTTTTTGGTGATATGCAGAAATATTTTAACAAAACGTAGTCGATTGTGCGACCACAAATCATTCTTTTATACTATTATATCATTATTTTTTACTCTCTGAGATATTTAGACCTTCCTAACCCCTCCCCCTCCCCAATGCACTTATTTTAGAAAAGGATGTTAAAACCCTTTTACTGATGAGTACCACTGACAGTCTGTTTAAAAAAAGTCTTTATACATTTATGCTAATTGTACAAACTGACAAATCTAATAATAATCTGCAATATTCTTTTAAGTACTAGTTTAGATGGATAATACCTACTTGAATACTCAGTATACTAGTATGTATTATGTATGGAAATGTATGAGCAGCTCAGAGCTATAATAAAAACTGTTTGAAAAAAGATGGAATAACATAAGGGGGATCTTGAATCCAAATCTACATTTAACTTTAGAGTGGTCCTTGTTTCCAGGGGAACACGGTCATTTTGGTTGCGATACTAGATAAATAAACCCCATCTCCCAGGCACGTAGCATCGCTTTTGAAAAGGGAGGGGAAACTGATATTTGCCTTTTATTTACTGAAAAAAAAATTGACAAGCCAAAGGAAAAAAAGAAGAAAAAGAAAAAAGAAAAAAAAATTGACTTATCTCAAAAACCCAATTTGCTGGTGTCGGTGATAGTTGGGGTGGGGGCAGCGTGGGTGGGGTGTAGTATGTTTTTACTTTGAGTACCTTTTAATTCAACTGCTCATACATATACTACACTACCCTTTTTTGACTATAATACAAGTAATATAATATAATAAGTGGAAGTGGATCAACCGAGTCTTTCATTGAACATTTCCTATAGTAAAAAAAATGTCTGGAGAAAAGTGGGCCCCGTACATTGTAATACTACGTGCCTGTCTCAAACCATTTTATCAAGTACAGGTGATCTAGATGTGCTACTCCAAATCTATTTTTGGACTAAACTAAACTATGACATCATTTAAAATTTCCAATAATATTTTTAGCAACATGCATTCTCTCAACGAACACATAAACCACAACAGTTCCCTTTTATATTCTTGAACTTATTGTAATGGAACATGGAGCAACGTTCAGAAATTCCACCAGAGTCGGATTTTCGGAGACTTAAACAGTTTCTGATTCTGGGAGGGTCTAACTCAGTTTATCGCCCCCATTCTCAGAATGAATCTGTACCACACACTACTTCAAAAATCGATGTCAGTTTCATTGGCAGGTAAATATTGAATCAAAATAAGTTGCTTGCTTTATTCATCTTCAGAGCTAAATAAGTATCAATACAAAGAACAGCTAGATGTGCAGATTTCTATGTACACCTTGTTGTTGATGTCGAAAACGAAAGTACTTTACATGCTGTTAAGAGAATTGTCCATAAATCTTAAAGTATAATTCTTGCAACACTTTGGATGTATAAAATTAGTTGTATTTTTGTATTTGTGGAAGTGTACCATACGCAATCGCAAAAAGGTCGAAGATTTACATTGTATTACATGTTAAATTAAATAAATTTTAATTTTAATAAATATAAAACATTGCGTTTGTTAATCACTGAAAGAAAAACCTAGTGAATTTAACTAGTGTGTTTCGTAAAGCGTTGGTCGTGATTAGTAAACTTTCAGTTTAGTGGTTAAGATAGTGAGTTGTGGAGCGGGGTCGTATAGATACTTAGATACCTAGTGAAAGTTACTCATCAATTCTAGGTCGTGTAATTGTATTGTAGACAGGCTCATATCGGCCATCGTAGTTCTGGGAAGGTATTGACAACATGATCATGAATCTACTGTAGAGATTAGACAGGAATCAAAACTTGAGGTGGATAAGCTAATGGAAATCTCACAATCCCTGTATGATTCTATCACAGGAGAGGTGGTCGCTGAATTTTTGTCGTAAGTTCATTTTATTCTCTTTAATGATCAATTTTACTTGAATACAAAGAAATGTGTTGATGAACAGCATTGTTTATGAGAGTTTCTAAGAATTGAATTGACTTTCTTAACTGACACTAACATGGCATAAAGCTTTCATCTTCTCCATTGTTAACAACATATTTAATCTTTTTAACATTTCCTTTATACTCGGCTACAAACAAGTTGTCTTTTTTGTCAACACAAACTCCCATTGGTTTCTTCAGATCACAGTTATCTATATACCGAAGGAAGTGTCCGTTCTGGTTTAGGATGTGGATACAAAGGTTCTCTACGTCTGCTGTCAGGATCTGACTCTGGCTGTCTGTTGTGATTCCGCAGGGTTTGAATGATTTGTTCTTTGTAACAGAAGGATGACCAGTGTATCTAAATCGGAGTTTTCCAGTCTGATTGACCACAACTACAACACCAGCTTCACAGTCAGCCACACAGATATCCAGGTTTCTGTTCTCACTGATGTATCTAATTTTATTATTTCCTGAATACAGAGGTTCCCTAACAAAAAAATACTATAGTTAACTATAGTTTACTATAGTTAACTATAGTTATAACTTTGACACTTTGAAAACTTTGATTTACTATAGTGATAACTTTGACACTTTGAAAAACTTTGACAAAAACTTTGACACTTTGAAAAACTTTGACGAAAACTTTGACACTTTGAAAAACTTTGACGAAAACTTTGACACTTTGAAAAACTTTGACACTTTGAAAAACTTTGACGAAAACTTTGACACTTTGAAAAACTTTGGCAAAAACTTTGACACTTTGAAAAACTTTGGCAAAAACTTTGACACTTTGAAAAACTTTGGCGAAAACTTTAACACTTTGAAAAAATTTGCTGAAAACTTTGACACTTTGAAAAACTTTATCAAAAACTTTGACACTTTGAAAAAGTTTTTCGAAAACTTTGATACTTTCAAAAAATTTATCGAAAACATTGAAACTTTGAATCAAAAACTTTATCAAAAAATTTGATACTTTGAAAAACTTAATCGAAAACTTTGAAACTTTGAAAAACTTAATCGAAACCTTTGAAACTTTGAAAAACTTTATAGAAAACTTTGACACTATTAAAAACTTTATCAAAACTTTGACACTTTTAAAAACTTTATCGAAAACTTGGATAATTTAACACTTCAAAAAACTTAATCGAAAACTTTGAAACTTTGAAAAACTTTATCGAAAACTTTGACACTTTGAAAAACTTTGGCGAAAACTTTGACACTATGAAAAACTTTGGCGAAAACTTTGACACTTTGAAAAACTTTGGCGAAAACTTTGACACTTTGAAAAACTTTGGCGAAAACTTTGACACTTTGAAAAACTTTGGCGAAAACTTTGACACTTTGAAAAACTTTGGCGAAAACTTTGACACTTTGAAAAACTTTGGCGAAAACTTTGACACTATGAAAAACTTTGGCGAAAACTTTGACACTTTGAAAAACTTTGACGAAAACTTTGACACTTTGAAAAACTTTGTCGAAAACTTTGACACTTTGATTTACTATAGTTAACTATAGTTAACTATAGTTAACTATAGTAAACTATAGTTAAGTATAGTTAACTATAGTATTTTTTTGTTAGGTATTACCCTCCTCATCAAACTGGATTGTTTGTTTCTCTGTGGAGCCTGAGTAACGAACAACTTTGGACTGTGTTTCATCATCACTGAACATGCCAACCAGGAGATCACCAGAAGAGGTGACACAGAGATTGAAAGGTATCCAATCTTGTTGCTTGATAACCTCTTCTGTTCGTCCATTCTTTACTTTATTAACAGTCCTTGTTTTAGCATCAGAGTACACTAGATCACCATCACATGTCACTGCTATATCACTTGGCCACTGCCCCGATTTTGTTCCGATTGTCTTAATGAGTGATCCGTCACTGTTAAAACATTTCATTTTACTGACTTTATGTGCACATGTCCAAAAGTCTTCCTCACTGAGCCATGAAATACTACGGAGTTTCTCATACCCAGTATTTATAGTAGTGATGAGTTCTGGTTCTTTCTGCAGTTGTCCGGTTGACGTCACTGGTTTCTTCAGTGTGTAGCCATTTTCATCTGTTTTGGTGGTTAATGGTGTTAAAGATCCAAACAAATCATGAATATGTCCTGTATCTTTTGACTTTGTATTGAACATTGGAAATAATACTCTTAATCTGGGAGGAAGTTTGCTTAATTCTTTGACTTTGGAGCTGTATTCCATAGTCATAGATATTTTATTTGATTCATCTATTCTATTTAATTCAAGAAGTGTTTGTTCAATAAGACTTGTTATCTGTTTAATTTCATCTAAATGTTTCATCAGAATGCTCATATGTTTACTTTTCATCTCTTCAATTTCTCTTTTCAGTTTGTTGACAATGTTGTCAATTTCTTTGTGCCATTGTTTTCCATGTTCTGTCACTGCTGTTGAAAGTTTATCATATTCTCCATCCAGGTTAGCAATCTGAGCTTCTATATCTATGGCAATTTCTTCATAGGTTGGAGAAATCATTTGTTTCAACTCTTCAGTATCTTTCCCTATGATTTCTTTCTTTGAATTAAAAATATCCGAAAGGGTTCTAATGGTATGTCCCTTATGTGTATCAGATGTAATGCATAAAGAACAAACACAGGTGTTGCATTCTTTGCAATGAAATTTACATCTTTCTGTTTCATGTATTTTGCACAGTGGATTAATTAAGGTGGATTTCCTTTGCTGAAATGGGACAATTTGGTGTTTGCTATAGTCATCAGCAATGTGTTCTCCAATACAGGGTTTACAGAGGCTGACATGACAGAAATCACAGTACATCTGTACTACAGCTGTCTCACATAGGTCACATCTGATCACATCCTGGGCACTGCTGCTGGGATCCATGTCGAAATCTAAAATTTGAATGATATGACATTGATTATAGATCTCATTGCCTAAATATCTTTGGTCGAAAACGAAAGTAAATATTACACCTACTCATTATTTATATTCCATATTCTCACAAATCAAAATGTCGTGATTTATTGAAATTGTTACCTTAAAACTTAAATTGCTGATACCGATTTTTATTTAAAAGTTTAATTTCAACCTAAGGGTGTTTCTGGATAAACCCATGTACCTTTTCACCCAGTATCTAAATAATCTATATGTACCTGCCTAGTTTATTTTATAGGAATGTTATGCATTGTAAATTATACAATAACTTAAGTTAAATCAAATAATTTCAGATGTAAAACAATACATTATAATAGGCAATACCAATTTATGTATGTCCAAATAAGAATCCAGAAAGCATGAAATGGCGGAAGCTTGCTATCACCTGACAGGAAGGTTAAAATATAGAATATAGGGTGTCATAGATAAAGTTATCTTTCTTGAGTAATATTACTGATCCGTACAAAAATGTACAAAATTTCAATCTTATTTCAATTTTCAGCTTTTAATCTTTGATTTTAATTTTCATTTTTTTTGTTATAATAATAATTATTTTTTTAATTATAAATTTCACTGAAAGGAAAACGTTTGCGTATCCATCAAATATTTTTGGAATTTAGACGAATATTCGTCATCTGAGATCTTTAAAATAAATTCTAAGACATATAGTAATGACTTGAAAAGGGTGTTACAATTAATAGGGGAAATATCCTTGAACCGTTTCTGAGTTTTGTCCGTAATTGAACTGAATGTCCCAAAATATAAACGTAATGGATTTTTGAAATTCAATGCATGAAAAGTAGCTTCCGCATTAAATATTTTGTTTAACTCAGTTTTTGGTGATATGCAGAAATATTTTAACAAAACGTAGTCTATCGTGCGACCACAAATCAATCTTTTAATATACTGTTACATCATTATTTTTTATTCTCTGGGATATTTTGACCTTCCTAACCTCCTCCCCCTCCCCAATGCACTAATTATTTTAGAAAAGGATGTTAAAACCCTTTTACTGATGAGTAAAACTCAAAATTTGACAGTCTGTTTAAAAAAAATCTTTATATATTTATGCTAATTGTACAGACTGACAAATCTAATAATAATCTGCAATATTCTTTTAAATACTAGTTTACATGGATAAGACCTACTTGAATATTCAGTATAATAGTATCTATTATGTATTGAGATGCCTATGAGCAACTCAGAGCTATAATAAAAACTGTTTGAAACAAGACGGGATAACATGGGGTCAGGAATCCAAATCTACATTAACTTTAAAGTTTTCCTTGTTTCCAGGGGAACACAGTCATTTTTTGTTGCGTAACTAGTTAAATAAGCCCCATCTCCCAGGCACGTAGTATCGCTTTTGAAAGGGGAGGGGGAGCCTGAGATTATTTTTAATTTACTGAAAAAAAAAATGACAAGCCAAAGAAAAAAAGAAGAAAAAGAAAAAAGAAAAGAAAATTGGCTTATCTCAAAAACCCAATTTGCTGGTGTTAGTGGTAGTGTGGTGGGGGCAGCGTGGGTGGGGTATGTTTTAACTTTGAGTACTATTTTTTTTTTTTATAATTCAACTGCTCATACATAGTACATTACCCTTATTTGACTATAATTCGACAAAAAGTGGGGGAGGATCAACCAGTCTTTTAATGAACATTTCCTATACTAGTAAAAAATATGTCTGGAGAAAAATGGGCCCTGTACATTGTAATACTACGTGCCTGTCTCCAATTCGTTGGCTTGACTTTTTATAAAGTACAGGTGATCTAGATGTGCTACTCCAATTCTATTTTTAAAGATATGACATCATTTAAAATTTCCAATAGTATATTTTTAGCAACAATGTGCAACACATAAAATCACAACATGCAGTTCTCTTGTATATTTTTTATCTTATTGTAATGGAACATGGAGGAACGTTCAGGAATTCCACCGGAGTCGGATTTTCGGAGACTTAAACAGCTTCTAATTCTGGGAGGATCCAACTCAGTGTATCGCCCCCATTCTGTATCACACACTACTTCAAAAATCGATGTCAGCTTCCTCCGAAGGTAAAGTTAAAAATAAGTTGCTTTCTTTGTGTTCATTTTCAAGATTAAATAGATACCATTACAAGGAAGAGATATTCATGCAGATTTCAAGGTGCATCATGTGTAGTTTTTCGTTGATACTGAAAACGAAAGTACTTTACATGCTGTTATGAGAATCGTCCATTCTTCGAGTATTCTTGCAACACTTTCACCCCTACTAATGTGTTCGGAACCTTTTATTTTTCGGTGTTCTGCCAATTATAAAACCCGATGAGTTCAGAGTAGCTCTGGCAGTGGCTCTGGCGAGAGTTAGCGAGACTTCAGCGAGATAGGGTATATTATTCACCGAAATGTGGCTAGGAAGTGACTAGCACGTGGAGTTATGGTAAACAGAAAAGTTATGTTGCGTTTCAGTTTTCACCACCCTAGAATCAGCTGATAATGTCTGCAGAAATGTATTTTAATCAATCGATCTCTTTTACATTCATTCAAACTTAAATAAGTATTCTCTATGATTCAATTTTCTGCAGTCATGAATTAAAATTTCTTTTTGGACAAATATTTTTGCATGGGAACCGGGACTATATTTTTTGGCGTCAGATTAGCAAATGAGGCACCAGCATGATTTTAACTGACCAATCAGCTGAATGAGTATTGCATTATGGGTTACTACGAATACTACAGGAATTGTACGCTTGAAAAAAGGAAAATCTTATGGTAAATAAAAATATTATTTTCATGCTCGTAATGACAAACAATTCATTTGTTAAATAAACGGCGGAAATCTAGGTTTCTGATAAAAGTCATACTGCAAAAGCGATTTGCGTCTGTATTAATTCTTTTGTTGTACTATCGGTGAATACAATTGCCAGGTGAATTCCCTGGCCGAACACGTGATCACGAACGTAAACAAGTTTTGTCCATTTAAATGCATAAGAGATGCTTCTTGTTTTCCTTACCCTCGAAGCGCTGGTGTTCTAAACTAGACACAAACTAAATTTTATTAAACATTTTTTCCATTTAACTACAAATTAAAAACGCCCGTCACATCTTTCATAGTTTCTTATTTTTGTATATTGTTAGTAAAGAACATTTTTTTTTAAATTTTGTAGTCCATTAACATGATCGTAGATTGACCTGAACTACGTGTTCGAAGTAAAATGTAAACATGTATTTGACATAAACGTTGCTATTCATTCAACGATTGGTCAGTTGCTCGTGATAAGATCCTCTGCATTTATAACAATAGCCATATAAGGCAAACAAAGGTTTGTCAGTGTAAATGATAATGCACATTTTTTACCAGCGAATCGGTCATTAGTGAGTTATAATTTTCGCCGAAAAGTATAAGATATATTGTTATTTTAACAACCCCCTCCTTTAGCCACCCTTTTCTGTTGAAAATCATGCAAGTCTTTCAGATAGGTCTGGAAACATTTATTACAGGACTTGTTTTCAAAAGAAACTGGCTATAGCAATATTATGTTTACTGCCAATTTTATTTATAGAACCGGTTCTACCCTATAACCTTTGAATAGATCAACCTAAACCACGTGTCTCGAATTTAAATCACAATAACATTAGTAGGGGTGACTTTGGATATATAAAATTATTCCTTTAAAAAATACAGTCGTTTTACATATGTATCTTTCGAATTTTTTTTAAAATATGTATTTTTAGGAGGTAAAGGTAAACAAAAGATCTCAGCTAGAGTTGCCTCTCTTGAAACATAGCCTAAATATTGATCAGTGAAAAACGCATCTCCTCAATATCATTATGTACACGTTTGTTTTGTTTGTTTGTTTGTTGTTAACGTCCCTCTCGAGGATTTTTTCACTCATGTGGAGACGACACCACTTGCCGATGGAGCTTCAAATTAAGTCCTATACTCGGCATTAAGGACTATTGAGCAGGGAGGGATCTTTTTCGTACCAGCACCTACTGCGACAGGGGACTTCGTTATACATGGTCTCATCCGAAAGACCGGTCTCCACGTCCATAGTCCGAAAAATCTTACTTTTCCTGGCTTTTTTACGAATTTGATATTTTACATGTTTTCCTGGCATGTAAAATATCAAAATCGTAAAAAAGCCAGGAAATGTCAGATTTTGCGGACTACACGTCCCACAGTGAGATTAGAAGTAAGGATCAAATCCTTGCTTCGCGACTCTACCGAGCAGACGCTCCAACCACTGCGCCAAGCTGGCGACTGTTACACGTTATTTGTAAAGGCAAGAAAAAATGAAATCCTTAAAGTGAAAACTAGAAAGTTTAACATGTTATTCATTACATGTATATTATATACTGAATTCTTGGAGAAAACAAACCATGCTCTTTATCATGTATTGCAATGGCGTCAGAAGCCAATTGAAAATTGGGGGGGGGGGGGGGGGTAATTGAAAGAGAAAAAAGTTCCAATAAAAAAAAATTGAAAACAAAAAAAAAGAGAGGGGGGAAGGGATATGTCCATAGTCCAAACACAAAAATCCATTGGCGGGTGGGTGCGTTGGGGGGATACATAACTTGGTTAAAGGGAGTGTGTTAGCCAAGTCCAAGTAGATAGTAATTGGCAAGAACCCATCGCCTGCATGGTATTCCTCGATATTATAATAATAAGTGCCAATCAATTTGACTAGGTTGAACATTTTCAGGTTAATTGTTGGCGGTAGAGGAAAAGATGTTGTTGGTATTATCAAACAGTACAGTTTGGAGGGAAGAGCTGCAAAGCAGGATGGGATACTTCGTGCCCTAGCCGTCTGTTCGACATCCATCGATTTAGTGACGAAGCGCGAGGCAAACAAGATCATCCCAGATGTATGCAGAATATTTGACTACCTCATAAAATTCATCAAATTTTCCCAAGAAGATGCTGGGGGTAGGAAGTGGGGACGTGCAAGGCGAAAAGCTATTGCTAACCTCTACAATAATTACCCAGGCGGCCCGATGAAATTAGCATATCACGTGACCAAATATCGCAAAAGGAGAAATATGAGTCATAAAGATGTCATACGCCTTGCGCATGTCAAACCTTTCAATCAAGAAATGCAGTATATACTTGGATACATCGTCCATAGTTCAAATGGCGTCGATTTAAACATCCATCATCGGTCCCCTGAATTAGAAACAGTCCAGACTTACATACAAGGAGTGGAAGAAGCTCGAAGACGCAGGGCAAGAAATGACGAGGCTCGCCTCATTCACTTAATTGGAAGACACCAACTTTGCCATGAACATGTAAAGAAAGAATTCCTGAACAAACCTGATGTATGGCATGCTCTGCTTCAACATACACCAATTCATGCAGTCATCCACAACTTGAATACCTTGGCATCAAATAGGGTATTCGAAAGGCACAATGGAGAAGAAAACTTAGTTTCGCAAAAATTGAACGATGTTGGGTTGCTGAATAAGGTTCGAGTGCATCCTTTTGAAATTCTTACAGCATATTTCCAGCACAAATCGGGAGAAAGGAATGCTCGCGGAAATATATTTACACCATCGGAAACAATTCTTTGTGCTCTTGAAGAAGCCTTTTACAAGTCATTGAAACCACAGAACGACATTTTTGAGGCAAGGGGTGTTCGAATGGTTTTCGGTATAGATATGACTATATCACCATCTGATTACGTAGTTTCTGCTAAAATAACCTCACGCCAGGCAGTTACGGGTATTCTGTTAGAACTCGTCAGATATGTTTATTTTTGTCATGTTTTACCGTTTGGGTCTTCCGATATTCGTAGTTATCTACCGATATCGCCAGACGACAGACTTGAAAATGTCGAAAATTCGCTTTTCATCCATGACGTTGAAAGTTCAGACTTGACAAAACCTTTAGATTACGCAATTAGGAAACAGTTAGATGTAAACGTGTTCGTTTTATTTACTTCAAAGATCTACGATGAACAGGGGCATTATCGTCTGAAGGAAGCCATGGATCGCTACAAATCACAGCCCTGGGCGGGCAGGGAGCCCAAAGTTGTTGTTGTGGACGTCATGGGAAAGCAATCCCCCGTTTCGTCATTCGAGGACGATTTCCTCCCCATAGAGGGCGCTGATTCACAGGTGGTTAATGTGATCAAAGAGTTTGCAGTTGGCTGGGACTAGATTTAAAATCATATAACCAAAATTGGAAATACCGAATATGGATGTCGTGGGAAAGCAATGCCCCATTTCGTCAAACTAGGACGATTTTCTCTGCATAGAGGGCGCTGATTCACAGTAGGTTAATGTGATCAAACAGTTTGCAGTTGGTTGGGACTAGATTTAAAATCATAACCGAATATGGGAAAAAAATGTCTACCATTTGTATTTTTATGTGTACAGACATGAACAATATGTACACTCGTACAGCTGCAGAGACAAGTAACTTGATACGGTTAAAGTCTTTCTGAAATTATTGATCATGAAGAAATTAACACAGCCTTTCTAATATCAAACGTGAATGTGATTTTGAGGGGTTGTATTTTTGTGCAAATGACCAAGAGCATGTTACTGAAGACAAATTTATGATAATTAATTTTGCGTTTGAGATTATCATAAAATTTTCATTTTGTTTTTATGTTTTTGTACAAGGACTCTTAAGTCATCATTATTAGTAAAAACTTAAGTATCTTAAGTTAACAATTGATTTCAAGGATGTTTTTTATTTTATTTTATACCTCCACAGAGAGAGAGAGAGAGAGAGAGAGAGAGAGAGAGAGAGAGAGAGATTGTGAAAGTGGAAATGTACCGTACGTAATCGCAAAAACGTAAATGTTAAGTTAAATAAATCTAAATTTTAAAAATATAAAACATTGCGTTTGTGTTTATTAAGGCTCATGTATACATTGTATTGTATTTACAGGAATGATCATATAATAATGACCTTTTCAGCAAATATAAGTTATCACCAAGTCTTATTTTGGCTGAATTGTTTCATACTAAAATGTTAGGCCTTTGTGTTTATACGGGTAGATGTATACGCCTAGATTTGCCGACTACGCATTATATCCTTGATCAATACATAGGGCTAACGGTGGGTGTGACTGGACAACAGGGGATGTTTACTCCTCCTAGACACCCGATCCCACTTCTGGAATATTTCTAGGGATCCATGTTTGATACCCTCTTCACATATTTTTATTGTGTATATTTTTTTCAGTCGATTACTGTTCGTTAACGAACTTTAAAACGAAATTTAAAAATCTTCCCTTTCACATTTTATACATTTCGCAATTAAGAAAATGTACTTTTTATTTATTTCATTGAAATATTTAATTCCAAAGTTTTACGCAAGGAATATTGCCATAAAGTATAGTATACTAGTACATTTCCAAAACTCACCGACATAAACCATGCTTAAATATATATATAATTTTAAGTACATAAAGTGATAAGATTTTTTTTTCGACAAAAATGCAGTGTATTAATTAAATTGTTTTATGACATTGTACATGTACATTCTCCCGGTTTTACTGAACTTTGAAATAATGAAGTGAAAATTACTGGATACTTACCTTTCTGAATCAGTCATACAAATTCAACTAGGAATTCCCCTTTTCTGAATTTAAAATTTTTGAGGAGGAGATAAGAAATTTTACACAGTTGTTTCATATTTTCCTTCTCATGTACAATCAAAAACCTTGCAAACTGCTTATCTGTAAAATGGTCTTTTCAAATGTCAATTTAAAAGGTATTCACAGTAAATGATATGTGTATTAAAAACACATCGGAAGTTAAAGTTAAGCTCAAACTTCAAGATAGCATCTAGATTTTTACATCAATATTTTTAAAAAACGGTCAATCAAGTTTTTGGTACTGATATGAAAAATATGCAGTTAGGTCTGAATGATAATCTGTAAACGAAAAAAATATTGGTTTCTTTAAAATACCATGTTTTCTTTGTAAGTGCCTATCTGGCAAAAAATCTTACTTTAATCAGAATATGTTTATATGAACAAAATCAAGAATTATTTACACAATTTTTTACTTAAAATAAATTTTATTTAAAAGAAGATTATTATTTGAATTATATTCTTCATTCAAATTAAAAAGGCAATCTTAATGTGCCATTGTTTCAAAAACCATATTACATAAAAAGTGTAGTTTAATGATGGAAAATACCACTTCTTTAAAAACAATACATTCTAAGAATTAATTTAAATTGCAATGAGATTTTAAATCTGTAATACTCTTGAGTTTATATTTCAGCTTAGTGAAGAGGCTGGTTTTCTCGAGGCTGACCATAATCTTTGAAGTTAGCACCTGCAGTAAGGGGAGAATGCATGCATATTCTCCCCTTACTGCAGGTGCTTGCTTCTTGGGGTGAAGATTATGGTCAGCCTCTTCTTCAACTACATAATTTTTAAATGATGATGTGACTTACGGCCCCCGGTAAATGACAAAAATTAAATGTCCAACTTTTTACACTTACTTTTTTTTATGCAATAATCACTGATATGTGTACCCTAATGAAATACTACTTTTAACAGAAATCGAAGCGTAATTTGGAAGATGTATATCTTTCATTTGGGAAGGGGTACCATGGTTACATTCAATTCCCATTGAATTTTAACCCCGCCCCACTCTTTGAAGCTCTTTAAATATACGAGCGTAAGTAGGTTAATTTTTCTCTTTAGCTGGTCACTGTATCTTATTGATATCTACCTATATGTGAAAGGAGAAAATTGTACCTAACTGTGCTCCCATGATTTTTTTTTTTTTAAATCGGTAAAATCTACCTGGCCTTTTCCATTATAAACAGATCGACAAAATTTTTTTTTTCTGATGTAAGAATAAATTCATTTCTTGACCCAAGACGGTAAACGTTGTGATTCAACGCATATTATTGTGAATAAACAGTCTGGGCTGACCATTAAAGTTCGAAATAAGGTAGAGATTATCTGTAAATTGACCTAAACCACGTGTCTATGATAAAATGTAAACATATAGTAAACCAGTGTGTTTTAAGTTCTGTTATCTGATTGGACAATTGTTCTCTATAAACGAAATAATAACAATAGCTGTATAAGGAAGAATCCTCGGGCATGCATACCACTCTATTGTACTAACACCCGCCTATTCTCTTTTCAAAAAAGAACAAACTGTCACAAACCAGGCCGAATGTTGCTGTCAAAGGGTCTGAAAATCATAGATAATGCAGTAGTCCTTATAATAAAAATGTGTCAGAACTAGAAACTATTCAAAAGGCGTCGTATTTATTCACTCATGTTTGAAAACTATCAAAATCGTTGTAGATTAAATATAATTCGTCGTTAGAAATAGGGGCCCCAGATAGCAGTCATGTCACATCATCCTTTCCATTGTTTTAATAAAAAAGATTTCATCTTATATAATTTTTATGGTCAAGGATAATTTGTCGACAGACCAACAAACATTTTTAAAAAAATTCATGGCTATAAATATTTTCATGTGGTGTCACATTACAGAACGTATTTAATCTTTTTAACATTTCCTCTTTGTTCAGCCACAAACAAGTTATCTTTTTTGTCCACACATAAACCAAATGGATTCTTCAGATCACATTTATCTATATAACGGAGGAACTGGCCGTCCTTGTCTAGGATGTGGATACAATTATTAAGACAGACTGCTGTAAGGATCTGACTCTGACTGTCTGTTGTGATGCCATAGGGTACAAACTTTTCGTTCTTTGTAGCAGAAGGATGACCAGTGTATCTAAATCGGAGTTTACCAGTCTGGTTGACCACCACTACAGCACCAGCTTTGAAGTCAGCCACACAAATATCGAGGTTTCTGTTCTCACTAATGTACTTAATGAAATAATTTCCTGAATACAGAGGTGTACCTTCATCAAACTGTATTGTTTGTTTCTCTTTGGAGCCTGAGTAACGAACAACTTTAGACTGAGTTTTATCATCACTGTGCATGGTAACCAGGAGATCACCAGAGGAGGTGACACAGAGACTGAGAGGTGTCCAGCCCTGTAATCTGATCATCTCCTCTGTCTGTCCATTCTTCACTTCATTCACTGTCCCATCAGAGGACACTAGATCCCCATCACCTGTCACTGCCAAATCATTTGGCCATTCCCTTGATTTTGTCCTGATTGTCTTGGTAAGTGAGCCTTGAATGTTAAAGCATTTCATATCACTGACTTCTTCACTTGTCCAGATTGCTTCTTCACCGAGACAGATCACACTGCGGAGTGTTTTAAGCCCAGTATGTATAGTTGTGATAAGTTCTGGTTCTTCCAGCAGTTTTCTAGTTGATTTCCCCTGCGTCTTCTGTTTGTAGCCATTTTCTTCTGTTGTGACGAATAATGGCATCAAAGATCCAAACAACTTGTAAAGCTGTTCTCTGTCTGTTGTCCATGGACTAAATGCGGGCATTGATACCTGAACTTTAGGAGGAAGATTGCTGAACTCTTTATTTTTAGAGCTGTATTCGATAGCTATAACCATTTCATTTGATTCTTCAACTTTTTTCAGGCTGTACAATGTTTGTTCAATATCTGATTGTATCTGTTTGATTTCATCAAGATGTTTCTTCAGAATGTCCTGGTGTTTGGTTTTCATCTGTGTAATTTCCGTTGTTAGTTTGTTGACAATGTTGTCAATTTCTTTGTGCCATTCTTCTCCATGGTGTTTCACGGCTATAGCAAGTTTCTCATATTTTCTGTCTAAGCCTTCTATCAGGGTTTCTGTATCAGTGGCAATTTCTTCATATGTTGGGGAAATTATGTTTTCTATTTCCTCTAAATCTTTTTCAATGTTTTGTCTCTTTGAATTGTAAAATTCCAATACTGTTGACAATGTGTGTCTCTTATGGCTTTTAGATACTGAGCATATAGCACAAATAGGAATGTCACATTCTTTGCATTGTAATTCACAGGCTTTCGTTGGGTGTGTTGCACACTTTGGATAAATCAAGGTGGATTTTCTTTGCTGGAATGGGACAACTTGATGTTTGTTGTAGTCATCAGCAATGTGTTCTCCAATACAGGGTTTACAAAGGTTGACATGACAGAAATCACAGTACATCTGTACTATAGCTGTCTCACAAAGGTCACATCTGATGATATCTTGGGCACTGTGGTGGGGGTCCATGATGGCTTTTGATCTAAAGCTATAAAGTATCATATTTTGTATTATACTATTTTTACTGTATGTGTGTTCTCATATATATTAAAGTACATGAAACTTTAAGTATAATACACTGTATTTCTTATTGGTTTCTTTTAATAGAAAATTCAAGTTTTTTTTTGTTTTTTTTTTGGGGGGGGGGGGGGGAATTACATGTTAATTTTTAAAAAGACATCAATTGAATTATTTTGAAAACACTCGTTCTAAAACCTTGCTTAAGGAGAACTCAAGAGAGCTCTGTTCTTCTGTCATATGCAGATGTAATCAAATAATAAAATGCATGGTTATTTACATTGAAGACAAAGAAAAGAGTACCTTATTACAAAATATTCAGGGAATCTCTCTTCAAAATTAAACTCTAGTAATGGCGGACATTGTTATTTATAGATGGTCGTCAGGTAAACATAGGTAAACACTTCCTGGTCTGGTGTCATTTAGAGTTATCTCTCTTGATTCATTTAAATGAGAACCACAGAAAGAAACGAAACAAAGAATTAAATATTTTAATAATGGATTGCAAATTTGGACATATAATAGAAACCAATATTTTTAGAAATACATGGGATAAAAAAATCATAATTAAAAAGAAACCTACACGCTTTTAGATTCCATTTGATTAAAAATATTTTAGACAAAGCTTAAGAATAATTTAAAGTATGTCAATCTGAAAAAATTGACTGATTAATTTTTTTCATGACACAAACGGTCGCAGAGAAAAGGACTTTATTTTTTTGATGGCAATTAATTATTTTTCCTTCTTTATGATCGAATTCTTCATTGCTTTGATCATTAGCTCATCACATGATGAGGGTGAAACACCTTCTAGACCTCATGCAGTGTTTCTTAATTTCCCATCTCAATATTTTGTCTATTATATTCCCAACAATAATTATGGCACGCCAAATTCACAAAAATGAGTTAATCATAGTTTCACAGTCGATAAACTAGGTTTATCGGTTGTAAACTATAGTTTACGGACTGTAAACTATAGTTAACAGCGTTAATCTATATTTTACATCTGTAAATCATAGTTAACGCGATAATCTATGTTTCACAACCGTAAACTATACTTAACACCAAAAACAATCATTTACGATCGCAAAACATAGAAAATCTGATAAATACAGTTTCATGATTTGTAAACTATGGTTTACAATTCTTAACTATAGTTAACGATCGCAAATTATAGTTTACAGATGCGAATCTATGTTTATCAACAAAATCTATCTTTAACGTTTTATTACGGACAGATAAACTTAGATTAGCATTCATAAACTATAGTTAACAACCGTTAAATATAGTTTTACAGATGGAAACTATAATTAACGAATTGTAAATTATAGTTCACGGTTTGTAAACTATAGTTTACAGTCGATAAACCTAGTTTATGAATTGTGAAAAAAGGTTTAGCGCGCCAAATTCAGAAAAATGAGCTAATCATAGCTTCACAGTCGATAAACTAGGTTTATCGGTTGTAAACTATAGTTTACGGACTGTTACCTATAGTTAGCAACGTTAATCTACATTTTACATCTGTAAACCATAGTTAACGCGATAATCTATGTTTCACAACTGTAAACTATACTTAACACCAAAAACAATCATTTACGATCGCAAAACATAGATAATCTGATAAATACAGTTTCACGATTTGTAAACTATGGTTTATTACTCTTAAATATAGTTAACGATTGTAAATTATAGTTTACAGACATGCATCTATGTTTTTCAACAAAATCTATTTTTAACGTTTTATTACAGACATATAAACTTAGATTAGCATTCGTAAACTATAGTTCACAACCGTTAAATATAGTTTTACAGATGAAAACCATACTTAACGAATCGTTAACTATAGTTTACAGTTTGTAAACTATAGTTTACAGTCGATAAACCTAGTTTATCGATTGTGAAACTAGGTTTAGCTCATTTTTGTGAATTTGGCTTGCCATAAATAATATATAGTGCCTTCTTTTAAGTGATTGAATTCTTATTTTCTTGAAGGACCCTGGACAAGCAAGCTGAGGCAAAATTGAGCAGAGATATTAAGACGGACATAACAGAAAGCTAAGAGAGAAGCCATGATAATGTGGCGGAGTGTCGGGGGGGGATCAAATCCCGGTCTGGTCCGCTGCATTTTCTCCTTCCCCGTTACATTTGGTACCATGCTGGAACTGACGGGTGTGAGGCCTGCCAGGAATGGGGGCCAAAGACCTTTAAGGAAGGAAGAATGTTGCGGTCAGCCGGATTCGATCGCCAGTGGCGGAGTTTCAGGGGGCCCGGGTTCGATTCCGGTCTGGTTCTCTGCATTTACTCATCTCCCGTTACAATAACTTAGTTATCTGTGTACCTGAACAGTAATATTCTGAAGGAAATCCTGGATCATGAGACGTTGAATTTGTCCACCGCAGAAATCAGTTAGGATGCATATTTGTCATTAACATGTAAACATGCATTAAAAATACCAACTTGAATTGGACCCTCCAGTGTAGCACAGAAGGAAAAGTCTAACACTGTGTATCCTTTACCTCAGACTGTTCATGAGTCCAAGCAAACATTTGAACTTCTGTCTATTGAAGAAGAAAAACTGAAGTCTCAAAAGTTTGACAGATACCTTGAGAGTTTAGTAAATGGAACAGAGGCAGATCAAACTCTTTCTCCAGATGTTGTGAACCTGCTTCCATGACCCATGTTTGATTCTAATGAGGAAGTTGGCATCATGGCGAAGAATTCTTTAAGGGACTCAATGCATGACACTGAGGTCAGTGTGAGGGATTCTATGTTCGACCCTGAGGTCAGTGAGTCTTTGAGGGACTCGGTAAACGATTTTGATGTCAGTGTGTGGAGATATGGACGATACAGTCTGGACAAGACTCTAAATCATCCCCGGATCTCAGAACACTTTGACAAACTAGAGGAGGATCTAATTAGAAATTATAAAGAGTCAGAGGAGAGCCAGTGGGGTGTTTGAATTACAGCTTTAGAGGTGGATCCAAGAGGGTGTATGACATCAGTGGTGTGTTTGAATTATAACTTGAGAGATGGATCCAAGAGGGTGTATGACTAAACAAATTTGCTATGTTATTATATAATGAAAGCATATAGATGGATACAAAAGAATATATGATATTGTTATGTCGATTGAAAGTTCAATAATTGTATATAATGAGGATATATAGTGCAATGAAACAATATATTGGTGTTAATACAGCATGTGGAAATTAAAATCATTGATTTTGATGTATGATCTAAAATAAATTAATTTGAGAATTTGAATTAAATATTGAAAATGCAAAGGGAAATTAAAGAATGCTTTTTGAAACATCATGAAACATCTGGCTGACAGAGTTTGTTCGGTAAGAGCACTTTAAATCATGTACTTACAAAATTCACATAAATGGATGATTTTGAAGAACCATTTATCTTATGTAACGGCTTATTTGAATGATAAAAGAATCTTTGCACACTCACATTGTTTTAAACTTAATGCGATGATTAATTTTTGAAGGTCCTTAATAGCAAAATGACTTCAAATACTAAAATTAAAATCAAATAATAATTCATGGTGAATTACGTGTGTATTGAAAATACATAAGTCATTCGAACTTTATGCTAAGCTCAATCTCAAAGATGGCATTTGATTTAGCACTTTATTGTATTTTTTTAAAGAAAAGGTCAACCATGTTCAAGGTAACCTGTTCTATGAAAAACATGCAGCTTAGTCTGTGTGAAAATCTGTAAATTAAACTTTAATATTGCTTTCTATTAAATACCATGTTATGATTATCAGCAAAAATCTGACTCAAAGGCTTACTTTAATCAGAGTATGTATTTTAAAATATGAGATATTGAATGACGTACTTCCTTGTGTGAAATTAAATATCTCTAAATTCCTGAATACAATATCAGATAACTCTTAAAGAAAAGATAAAGACAGTGCAAAATAATTGATTTTTTTCTATTAAAAAAGTCATTTGCATCGATCATTATGGTTCATATTTCTATATTCAAAAGAAAATTATCATGCAATGACAGTTCGTGAAAACTGCTGAAACAAAATCTTAAAGGTAAATTATGGATATGACATTATAATAAAATATATCAATTAAATACAATTGTATCAAATTTTAAGTTAAAGTGTAATTGGATAAGTAGATCCTTTTGCAGATATTTCAAAAGCTATGGAATATACATTATATCTGAACACTTCCTGGGTACTGATTGTCTCTAAGGCGAGAGGTCCACGATAGATTTAGATCTAAATTTGTATTAACTATATTTCAATTTATATACATGTATAATTATAAGCGAGGACCTCGAGTTTTGATGACCAGAGTGAGGCTTCCTAGTTCTATTAGCTCCTTGGAATTACCACAGTGGACAACGGTGTGACTAAAGAAGTCGACATTTATTGAACTTGAAGAAAAATAGTGTTTACAGCTGTCATCCATCAAGGGTCGCCCACGTGATGCAGCGGTTAGAGCATCTGCTCAAGGGTCGTGTAGTAAGAAGTCAATTCTCATGTCGCGGGTTCGAATCTCACTGGGGGACATGGAGACCGGTCCTTCAGATGAGACAGTATAAACCAAGGTCCCGTGTCGCATTATGTGCTGACACGAAAAAGATCCCTCCCTGCTCAATGGCCCTGAGTGCTGAGTATAGGTTACAATTTGCAGCTCGATCTCAACCAGCAAGTGATGGTGTCTCCAAATGTGTGAAAAAATCTCCAAAAGGACGTTAAACAATAAAAAAAATCAATCCATGAAGGAAAGGAAACACATGTATAGCTTATCAGTGGGTGAGGCGCTTAACCTTCAAGTTCTAGTATTTAATGTTACAATTATCTAAAATCGCGCTTTTTTATATAATGATACATTTTATGTTGTTTTTTTTTTTGCTTTGCTTTTGGCACAATTTATTTTCATTCTGCCCCATGAACTCCAGTCTCTGATTTTGTAGTATATGGAGAATATCCA